GAGACGGGTTTTCACCATATTGACCAGGATGGTCTCGATCTCTTGACCTCGTGATCCACCCGCCTCGGCCTCCCAAAGTGCTGGGATTACAGGCTTGAGCCACCGCGCCCGGCTGGAACCCATTTTTAAGGAAGATCACTTCAATGATCTCCGATCCAGGGTTGAGACTTAATTGTCTCTCCTTTCTCCTCCTGCAGCTTGATGGAGAAAACTCTTACTGAGCCTCCCTGAATCTGCTTCATCAGATGTGTGACATAGCCTGCTCTCTTGCTGCGGAGCTTCTTGCTAGGGCGACCTCCTTGCACACGCGCTTGTTCGTGTGGAAGCCGTTGCCCATGCCCGTGTAGTACTTTTCTATGATGACTCGGGCTGTCTTCAAGGTTTTGGTGCAAAAGCGGCCCATGTTGGTGGGTCCTTGGTCTGCCTGGAACATTCTTCCACCAGCTAGCCACATATTTACTCCCTCACATAATATCTGCTCAAATGCCCCCATATCCGAGATCTTCCCTAAGCATACTTTTCTTTCTTTTTCTTTCTTTTTTTTTTTTTAGAGACAGGGTCTCGCTATGTTGCTCAGGCTGAAGTTCAGTGGCTATTCACAGGCACGATCCCATTACTGATCAGTACGGGAATTTGACCTGTTCGGTTTCTGACCTGGGCCGGTTCATCCCTCCTTAGGCAACCTGGTGGTCCCCCACTTCCAGGAGGTCATCATATTGATGCCGAACTTAGTGCGGACACCCGATCGGCATGGTGCACTACAGCCCAGAACTCCTGGACTCAAGCGATCCTTCAGCCTCAGCCTCCCGAGTACCTGGGACTACAGGCACGTGCCACTGCTCCTGGCAATCATACTTCTTTTTCCCTAGGTTAAGAGACAGGATCAGCCTGATGCGGTGGCTCACGCCTGTAATCCCAGCACTTTAGGAGGGCAAGACGGGCGGATCACAAGGTCAGGAGGCTGAGATCAGCCTGACCAACATGGTGAAGCTCCATCTCTACTAAAAATACAAAAATTAGTTGGGTGTGGTGTGCGTGCCTGTAGTCCCGGCTACTCAGGAGGCCGAGGCAGGAGAATCGCTTGAAAGCAGGAGGAGGAGGTTGTAGTGAGCCGAGATCGCACCACTGCACTCCAGCCTGGAGATAGTGAAAAAAAAGAGAAAAGAGAAAAAAAGAGAGAGAGAGAGAGAGAGACAGAGACAGAGACAGAGACAGGATCTCACTCTCCCACCCAGGCTGGAGTGCAGTGGCACCACAATCATGGCTAACAGCAGCCTCAAACTCCCAGGCACAAATGCCTAACCATATTTCTAAAACGGTGCTTCTCCTTAGTTTCTATCCCCTTGCCTTATATTTCTTCTTAGCATCCACCTAACATACTTTTTTGTCTTGTCTCACTTGACTAAATTTGGTGAGAGCAAGGAATTGTTTTCTTTACTGTATCCTCAGCACAGAGTACAAGGTCTGGTAGTTGACATTTAAAAGCATGACAGATATTTATTAGATAGATGGATGGATGGCAAGATTTAAACTCAAGTTAGGCTGATTCCAAAACCTGGTTCATTTTTCACTGCAACCAAAAAACTGTGAAGCCAGATCTACTAGCTACCAAGCCATGTCGACTTTAGAATTGAGAGGTAGGATGGCTTGGGGGAAAAAAATGCTAAGAATTTCAGTTCTGTCCTCTAGGTGACATCAGAGACTCCACGAAGGTAGGAAACTATTCTGCAAAACCAGAAAGCAGCAGATCAGAAAAAAAAGCAATCTTTTGGTAACAATGCACTTATCATCTCCCTGTTTGCTGAAATTTAGAGGCAATATAACAAGTGATCAAGAGCATGGATTCTGGAACCAGACTGCCTGAATATAAACCCCAATTCCTCCACTTACTAGGGGCATGACCCTGGGCAAGGGACATAAGTTTTCTGCCTTGGCTTCCTCATTTGCTAGTTGGGGATAACAATACTATTTCTTAGGGTTTTGTGAAGACTAAACAGCTGATATATTGGAAAATGTTTACTCTGTAAATGTTAGCTATTTTTAATCATAAGCTTTCTATTCAGTTGTATAGAAGGTTTAGTTCATGATCCTATTCTTCCTGAACATATAGAGGACAAAAGGGAAAAGAAGGCTATTCTAGACCACTATAGAATCAGTAGGCTGAGTAACAAAAAACCAGCCTAATGGCCATGTTGAGGAGGCTAAAAAGATGTCTCATATGCCTACACATCCAGAGTTCCAACAGTCGTGGAAATTTATCAGCGTACTATCAGCCCCAGTGCCCAATGCATTAAACTTAGTTGGTTAATGCCACCAAACTAGAAGACAGCCAAACCAAGGTTAGCACATCCTTTGAGAAGACAGCAGAATTCAATTTGGCAGTAAGCTCTTGATCAGTTGGAAGATCATCTAGGCCAGGCATGGTGGCTCATACCTGTAATCTCAGCACTTTAGGAGGCTGAGGAGGGAAGATTGCTCAGGCCCAGGAGTTTGAAACCAGCTTTGGCAACATGGAGTGAGACTCTGCTTCACAAGAAATTTTTTTTAATTAGCCAGGTGCAGCAGCATGCACCTGTCATCCCAGTTACTTGGGAGGCTGAGGTGAGGGAATCACTTGAGCCCAGGAGGTCAAGACTGCAGTGACAGCTGTGTTCAGGCCACTGCACTCCAGCCTGAGTGACAGAATGAGACCCTCTCTCTCTCTTTTTAAAAAAATAAAATAGAGATGGGGGTTCTCCCTATGTTGTCCAGGTTAGTCTCAAACTCCTGGCCTCATGCAATCTGCCAGCCTTGGCATCCCCAAGTACTGGGATTACAAGCCTGAGCCACTGTACCCAGCAAAGACTCTGTCTCTAAAAATAAAAATAATAGGCTGGGTATGTTGGCTCATACCTGTAATCCCAGTACTTGGGGAGGCCAAGGTGGATGGATCACTTGCCGCCAGGAGTTCATGACCAGCCTGGCCAACATGATGAAACCCCATCTCTGCTAAAAATAGCTGGGCATAGTGTGCGCCTGTAATCTCAGCTGCTTGGGAGGTTGAGGCATGAAAATTGTTTGAACCCAGAAGGTGGAGGTTGCAGTGAGCCAAGACCACACCACTGCACTCCATCCTGGAAGACAGAGCAAGACCGTCTCAAAAAAAAAAAAAAAATTCATGTCCTGGGCAGTGTTTTCTTTACTTTACCTTTTTTTTTTTTTGAGATGGCATCTCACTCTGTTGCCCAGGCTGGAGTGAAGAGGCATGATCACAGATCATGCAACCTCTGCCTCCCAAGTAGCTGGGACTACAGGCACGTGCCACCATGCCGGGCTAATTTTTTGTATTTTTAATAGAGACGAGTTTTTCTCAGTCTCAGGCTCCTGCCTCGACCTCCCGAAGTGCTGGGATTATAGGTGTGAGCCACCACACCCAGTTGCCTTATTGTTATCACTTTTTAATAGAGTCAAGGGTCTCATGTTGCCCAGGCTGGTCTTGGACTCCTGGGTTCAAACAATCCTCCTGCCTTGGGCTTCCAAAGTGCTAGGATTACAGGCATGAGCCAGCCCGCCCAGCCCTGGGAAGTGTTTTATACATTGGTCTTGCAGCTATGTCTGTGTGATGGTGATCTTACAGTCAGTAGTATCCTTAGATTATTGAGATAATGAACAGGTATATAGTTTCAGTATAAACTCTTTTACACTCAAAATCCCTTTAAAACTCTCTAATAGCCCTATGAATTAAGTACTACCTCATTTTTAATACTTAATTCATAGGGTTAAGATGATAAAATTGAGGCTTAAAAGATTACGCTGTCCAAAGTCATATCCAGAAAGAGAAGGAGCTGGGATTTGCATGTAGGCCTATCTGACACCAAAATATATATCAACTATCTTTTACCACGGAAAGATA